TTTAATCTTCCTCTTTGAAGATGATCACTTGGTGATCGAAACACGTGTCGAGGTGGTAAAAATAACGATTTGGTGTTGGGAAAGTACTCATCATAGTTTTTCACAGTGGATTCGAAAAATTAGTCCCTTCATTACTGCCATTTATTAGAGTACAAAACTGAGAACGTCCAAAACGTCCAACAAGTGATATCAATTTCTCTTCGTATGAATCATCAATGTTGAACTTTACAGATTCCATCGGTGCATCTTCGTTTTCGATGTAGAAGTTTTGCAAAACACTTGTTCCTAAAGTGAAAGTATAAATGGAATACTTCCTCCAGTGTTCAATTAGGGTAGTGTATAGAAATACGTTTGTGGCATCTGACCCTAACTTCCAGTTTGGACAATTCTGCCTTAGATGCAGAGCAGTATGAGGAATACGAAAGGTTCTTTCATGTTCATTATACCGTTTCGAGAAATTTCGGCAATATTGTCCCACATAAACACAATCTGATATTAAGTAACTACGTCATGAACAATCGAGTTCTGGAGCGTCCTGACACACTCACTGATCTAGGTGTTACCTTTGAATCATCCCTCTATTTCAATAAACATACGAACACCCTGATTGATCACCTCAACAATAATGGATCCTACATCATGGCATATGCAGATGACACGGTTACCTTGCAGACATGGTCCTTTTTACAGGAAAAGACGTTTACCGGGCTCAAAACCTCCCGAAATCTTCAAAAGCGAACTGAACTTGGTGAAAAGGTGAAACACCTTGGTACTACCCTCGACAGGAAGCTAACATGGAACTCTCCACCTAGAAAAAGAGTATATGCGGCTTATGAGCAATATCGGAGGACAGGAAAAGTCTACGCTTAACAGTAGGATTTCTGACTGGTCACTGTCAACTAAGGAGACACCTCCGTAATATGGGGCTAGTGGCCCCACCTCTATGCAGGATGTGGGAACCGGAAGATGAAACTGTCAGGCATGTCCTATGCGAGTGTCCGGAGTTATCATCAATAAGATAGTGTGTGTTTGGCGAGTCTTGGCCTACACCTGCCGATATGAAGAAGATGTGTCCTAGTGACCTGTCCACCTTCCTGGAAAGGACAGGATGGACGATGACTCAGGAGGACAACTCTTCGGGAGGATGTACAATGGGTAACATGTAGCCTAAGAGATGTTGGCCTACATACGCCCTCCATACTCCACAGTATAGAATGTATAGAAAAGGCAGATGATTATATAAATATTCTACTGTTATTAACTTCATAAATGATTTTGAAGCACGACCTGAATCGAAATGAAACAAAATTGACCAAAGAATATATTTTTCTCTGACGCGTACATTTAAGCCAGCAAGAAATTAAAATAGTGGTCAACGATTGATATCAATCTATCTGTATACAAATTTTCATCAGTTAGTTTCATTTCACGGAATATTTCATCCATATCACCGTCTCCTTTGACATCCTCGATCGACGGGGCGTCATCTTTATCAACATATAGTAATTTCAGAAAACCTGTTGTTAATCTGAATTGAAAAACTGAATATTTTTTCCAATGTTCCACTAACGTGTCGTAAGGAAACAATTTTCCAGCATCCGATCCTAACGCTTCCATAAAGTCTGATAAGTTTGCGTGGTAGTACTTGAGCAGAACATCTAGTTGAGCTAGTTCTTCTTTGGAAGCAGTAGCGTATAGGAAATAGGATAGATCCATTACTGGAGAGTGAAGTTCAGAAACTTGCCAGTCGAGGATGGCAACTTTGACTGGATTTTCCTTGTCTCCATCCTGTAATAGAAATAGAAATAGAAAAGAAATAGCATAGAGAGTGGATGATTTCAGCTTGACCCCACTTGATGTTATGTTGATGAGTCCAA